CGTCTTCATCTTCGTCTTCGGCTTCGCTTCCACTCTGTTTGCAACCTTAGAATTTGGTTACAATGAAGGCAACAGAGCTTGCCATTAAAATCGTTAAGTGTGCATTTGATGAATTTCTAAGCAAAAAAGTAAGATGTGTATTTAAAAAGCTTTAAGCGTTAAGATTTTAAAAGTCGATTTTACACTGCCTCTGACAATGAAGTAACACTGTTAAAATTGTTGACATGCGTTAAACGATTTGAAAAAAAGTTTAAAAAATATCTAAAGTAAATAAATGTATAGGTAGTTAAGTTGCTAGAATTAAAATTAATAAATTGTTAACATATTCGTATTAATTGAAATAAATTGTTAAATACCTGCACATGTGTGTACACAATTAATTTACAAAGCCTCTTGAAAATTATTTAATTGATTTGCATACATAAATTATGTACAACTCCACACTCTTTTTGTAATTTTTTGAATAAAATACTTTACATCATTAATTTGTATGTTTACATATATTCTAAAAATATACATTTAGCTTAGGAAATGACTAAAAACTTTGCAGTTTAGTCTACCACCATTATATTTATACAGATGTATATATATACATATGTATTAGGGTGGTCCTTAAAAATATCAACATCTACCTTTTGTTGTGGGTCACGCATTTATTTTGTTCTACGTAGAAGATAAAGATAAACATGAAAATTTCAAAATTAAAAATTAGGGGTCCCTACTAGGGTATAAAAAAAATTAATTTAGTTTTGAAAATCGCAAAAATTTAACATCAATGTTGACCTCGACTATCTATAGCCCAGCGAGTTGATGAATTTATATGTGAATAAGTTTTAATTATAAGTAACATTTAATAGATTTCAAGTTATAATTTTGTAAAAGTTTTGCATGTAAAAAAATTTAAATTTAATCAAAACCCTGTAGCGACCCTTAAATGTTTTTTTAGTCTTGAAATTTTCGTGTATGTCTTTATTTTGTACGTTCAAAATTTAGATTTTGATATTTTTAAGGCCCGCCCTAATATGTATGTATAAATATGTGTTACTCAAGCTTTTATCTAAAACAGTAATACTGGCGATCTTAAAAGTTATGACCGGAAGTTAAAGAAACTTCTTATTGCTTTTGCTTTAGGTACATAAATACTACTATACATATGTACACAAATATATTGTACATTTTACTCAAGCGCATGTTAGCAACCAGTTATCAGCTACATACTATCACTATTGTCAAATGTTGTAGAATTGGGTGTGGTAGCATTAGAAAAGACTGTTGTTGTAGCAAAACAGGTAGCTGTTGTAGGAGTAGTAGTTACATTATCCTTTGTGGAGGAAGAGTTGTTAGTAGTAGTAGCAGTTGTTATAGTTGTAAATGTAGTGGTTGTAGTTGTGGAAGGAGTTGTTGTTGTGGTAGCAGTAGCGTTATCGATACTTTTATTAACTAAACTGGAAGTAGTACAATTACTTATTGGTGTAGTCGCTGTGGTAGTCGTATTAGTTGTTCCAGTAGTTGGAGTTGTATTCGTAATAGTGGAATTAGTAGTAGTAGGAGTACCAATAGCAGTTTTATTAGTTGGTGTTGTTGCAGTAGTATTACTATTACTAGTATTAGCTGTGGTAGGATATGCAGTTGCTATGTCTTTTAATGTTGAATTAAATTGAAAAACTTTACTGGGTCTGCGTCCAGTCACAATAAGTCTGCAAATACAATACAATACATACCAAACAACACACACAAAAGTACTGTTATTTAATGCATACCTACGTTTGCTTTTATATTAAATACTAAGTAGGGTTATTGAAAACAATGTGAAAATTCAAAGTTTATTATTTTTGTTTTATCTCAAAGAGAAATTAATTGCCACCAAGTCTTTTTGTTAAGTGATGGTAAATATGTATGCAGAAATTATTTATGTATATAAATATGTATGTATGCGCGGTGGTTGCTGTGTATATGTGGCACATGTGCAGGTTCAAAGATGTCAACTAAGCGTGTATTGTATTTAAAAAAAAGTCTCTTTAATAAGTCACTAACGTTAACGGTAAGTTGAATATTCACGTCCAATCGTTAAATTTTTGTTCTTAAGAACTAGAATCTATATTTAAGTATAAAACGGATTCATAATTTGTAAAAGAATCAATCTTAAGCAATAGGGGGATTCACTAAGCCATGAAAAATACCTGCACGGCGTGCAGATTGCTCGTAAGAACCGGTTTTCCTATGGGAAAACTTTTTAATCCGTGTACTCGGTACACCATGCAAAGGTTTTGCAAGACTTAGTGAATCACCCTGGTATGTTTTATGTAGCATAAACATGTGTAGCCCACCGATTAAATAAATATATAAATAACACGCAAAATATCAATACAAATAAATTGAACAAAAATGCAGAATTGCAAAGTAAACATTTGGCGTGGAACACACATTAAAACACATTTGTACGAGTACCAAATAAAACGAGTAAGTAGGTATATCGATACTTATGTACATATGTCTATGAATAAGTACTTAATATGTATTACTGAATGCTTGCTAACTCAGCAGTGATCGGAAGAAAACAAAAAAAAAATCGCCTTACACCACTTAATGCAAAGTATTTTTGCAAGGAAAGTCGAAATGGAAAGATTTTTGATGAGCTTTAATTTACTGACATTAGGGTGGATATGGCAAATTTGATGCGGTTCAACAATTCTCCTTTAAACAAATAGAACTGTATCAAAATTGCTAAATCAAAAAAATGCAAACTTATTCCCTCTGGTTATTAACCGATTTTAATAATGTAACAAAGCAAACCCTCCGTTCGGCCAAAAAAAAATGGTTGTTTGTGGATCCCACGCGTGGCTGCAGTGAAACTTCTTCCTATTACCCGTATAACTCACTATATTCTATGTGTAGATTTCTGCATCTGAATCTCAATGTCAATCTTAATCTTGATATTAATCTTAAACTTATTTATTATTCTAATGTTAATTTTAATTTTATTTTTAATTTCTAATTTTAATTTTAATTTTAATTTTAGTTTTAATTTTAATTTTAATTTTAATTTTAATTTTAATTTTAATTTTAATTTTACTTTTAATTTTACATTTAATTTCAATTTAATTTTAGTTTTAATAGTAATCTTAATTTTACTCTTATACTTATTCTTCATTTTAATGCTATTCTTAATTTTTATTTTAATCTTAATATTAATTTTTATCCCAATCGTAATATTAATTTTAATCTTAATCTAAATTTTAATCTTATACTTAACTTTTGTATTCTTAATCTCACACCTAATCTTAATCTTAGTCTTAATCTTGGTCTTAATTTTAATCTTAACTAATTTTAATCTCAATCTTATTTTTATACCCGAGCGCACTTGTGCAAAACTGTGATCATAGATATAAACAAATGTACACATAAATGCAGAATGAATAGAGAAGTCGATTAAGCCATGTCTGTCTGTCCGTCTGTCCGTTCCTCCGTGTACACGATAACTCGAGCAAAAATTGCGAAGTCTCAACGAAATTCGGTATGTAGGTTTCCCTTTATCCAAGGTAGGTTGGTATTGAAAACGGGCGAAATAGGACTTACAGTCCGGTGGTTACAACACGCCCACTTCCCATATAACGGTATTTTCGAAAAAAGCAAGAACTACGATATTTCAGTAAATATTGGATCCAAATTATGGAAAATTAGTATGTGTATGTGTAGAATTATGGTTAACAAGTAAGAGCAGCGCTGTCTTCGGCTATGCCGAAGGCTTCATACCTTTCATGAACATCTGCAAATTTTAGTTTGACAGATTACTGATTTTGAATACATCTGCATACATCGATAGAGGAGTTACATACTTATATAAAAAATCGCATCTAAACAATCAGAGGTATGGAAGATATACTTTATATGGCACCAATCTAAGTGATTTTCACTGCTATGTGATCGGTATGTAAACCGGTAACACAATTTATTGGGTTTAGATTCCTACATAAAAGAGATATATCGCAAAAACTGGTATCTGAACAATCAGTGCTATAGGAGATAAAGCTCATACAGCATAGATTTTGACGATTTTCTCAGTAGACTTTGTATTATTATTTATAAAATATCTTACGAAATTTATCGGTTTTAGCTGTTCAAATAAAGGAGTTTTACAGTAAAATCCCATATCTGAACAATTAGATGTATGGAAGATATATGTTATAGTCACCCGATCCTTGTTATTTTCACTGTAAGTATTCTGTTAATAATGAGAGAAAATGGTGCGAAATTTCATGTTCCTAGCTGCATAAATGGAGGAGATATGATAAAAGACCACATATCTGAACAATCAGTTGTATGGGGGCTGCAGGTTATAGTGACCCGATCTTCGTTATTTTCACTGTAAGTCTTCTGCTGATAATAAGTGAAAACAGCGCGAAATGGCATGTTCCTAGCTACATAAATGGATGAATTATAACGAAAAATCTCATATCTGAACAATCAGTTGTATGGGAGCTATAGGTTATAGTTATCCGATCTTTTTAATTTTCACTGTAAGTTTTCTGTTGATAATTATTGAAAACAGTGCGGAATTTCCTGTTCCCAGCTATATAAATGGAGGAGTTATAACGAAAAATTGTATATCTGAACAATCGGTTGTATGGGAGCTATAGGTTATAGTGACCCGATCTTTGTAATTTTCACTGTAAGCATTCTGTTGATAATGGGTGTAAGTGCTGCAAAATTTCATGTTCGTAGCTGCATAAATGGAGAAGTTATAACGAAAAATCTCATATCTGAACAATCAGTTGTATGGGAGCTATATGTTATAGTGGTCCGATTCTTCCGGTTCCGACAAATGATTAATACATTATAAAAATACACCCACCTACCAAATTTGATCCGGATATCTCGAAAACTGAGAGACTAGATTGCATACAAACAGACGGGCAGACGGACAGACGGACAGACGGACATGGATAAATCAACTCAGCTCGACGTTCTGATCATATAAGTATACATTTTAATGGGTCTATCTCTTTTTGTTCTGGTACTTACAAACATCGGACCAAAGTTATAATACCATTTCATGCTCATGAAAGGTATAAAAATAGTGTTATTATTAAATTTTGGGAAAGTGGGCGTGGCCGCGACCGAACTTATACTTTTCTATTTGTTAATTATAATTTTAATTTTACAGCCTTATTCTGTATCACGAACGATAGGCAAAACGATCGATTCGTCTGCAGACGACAACCTCTCTGATTGCGATTTTAAACTCTATCGGTCGTCTTCGTCTTGCTTTTTATTATACACTAGCCAATGCCCGCTTACTTCGCGGCGCCTAATAAGAGCTTTTGCGTTAGCCAATGCAAAAGAGCGTTTAAAAACAAAATTAGTCTGTAAAGTCAAAGTTTTTGATTTAAGTGAAACCACTAAGGCGCAGTATCCTCCTCACACATAGGCAAATAGTATTAACGCTGTGATACCATATGGAATACCAATCCCTTTTGGTGTCATAAGCTTTACTGATGGTCTTATTTTCACCTGTGAGATCTCTGCGAATCATGCGTAATCTTTTTGTATGATCTTACGTATGCCAATAAAAGTTCGTATAGGGAAACTCAAGAGCACAGGAGTGCATTTTCTTTATAGGAAGGCCAAGAATCCTCGCTGTCCCATAGGATGAAAAGTTTTCCGGTACATTGCTAAATGAGTAGTGTGATCTCTTAAGTATCTTTCAAATGAAGCAGTTGATATACTTACGGTGATCTTTCCTTGTTAATTCACCACTTTTACAATTCGTGGTAAAATTTATGAACTGATTTCAGGGTAGATGCAGGACCGCATGATCGTGCATGAGGGCGTCAGAAAAACTTAACCCCATGCTTCATTTAAACATCTGAAAACTAAATTCGTATAACTTAAACATAGGTCCAAAGCAGACCAACCACACGGGGTTTTCATTGGGCTTATTTTCTGCAAAACCATTGCTTACCATAAAATGAATACGTGTTATGAATTTCTACCTTAACTCCAGCGGCACTAATCGGGTAAATTTTTATCAAAAGAATTTGCTATCATACAGGTACATAGCTCACATTTAAAATTTGAACGAAATCGGTTAATAAATACGATTTTTATAAATAACTCTACTCCAGCACCACCTAGCGAGTTTTATAGTAGCATGTAATTGGACCATATATGTATGTAAGATAACCTCCGACAATCTGACGGAACTCTATTCAGTGTTTTTTAAGTTTATTCCGAACAACGAAAACGGCTATCATTTTATGCAAATAGGTATGTAGATAGGACAGTTTATAGCGAAACTCGTAAAAGCAAAGCTCCATTCTTTGTGAAAAACTTAAAAAAATTCTTCAAAATTTTCACAAAAATTTTACCTTACTGAAAATTAAAGACAAAGTTACAATAGTTCAAAGGGATTTATAAATCTAGGAGAAAATGGTTCCCAATCGAGTGATACTTGCGCGTTTACGTAAATGTTTATCGATCCAGCCTTTCCAATAATTATCACTTTTCGCCATAACTACGGCATTGATAACATATGTAGCTGTGTAGAATTTCAGGACGTTAGCGTAAGCAGTTCCAGACATAAGCTATATGAGAAGTTCAGTTTGCATGGAAGGAAGGAGCCACGCCCCCTTTCCCAATGCATTTGCAATATATGCATCAGTGCTAAGTTTCAGTCCCCAGCGTAATTGGTTTTAGT